AGAAGTTCAGTGGAAAAACCAAGGCATGAAACATGTACAAGAATGACCCCCTTTAAAAAATTGTATATAAACTTGCTTGGAAGGCCAGATCCCAAATATTAACATTAGTTATCCCTAAAGGCCCTTTATTTTCTCTTTTACACCTTTTCCTAGATTTTTGGCCATGAACCTATATTACTTTCTTATTAGAGCAAAACAACAAATGCTATTTTCAAAGGAAAGGAACATAGAGCCACAGTGGAACCAGTCTGTAGGTGTGTAGGTGAGCCCGGCCTGGATCTAGTGCTTGGGGAAACAGAGAGAGAGAGACCGGGTGATGGGGGCAGGAGATCGCTTGTCCATTGACGTAAGTCCTGCAAATTTGGAGCAATCCATATTTCAAAGTCTTCAGTGAGGTTTTATATCTGCCCTACTCACCAGAATCTTGTTCTTTATCTCACTTGTTCCAAGTATGTAAATAACTCCAGAAACTGATCTGGGGTCCTGGGGGCTCTCAGGACCTCTGAGATCAGAAACACCCTAAATGCTGGCTGTCCACACCTGCTGTCACCAGTAACAGCCCCAAAACTGAGTGTGAGGAAGTGCAGTTGTCAGGCGTCTGGAGCTCTCTCTCCATTCTAATTTAGAGAAACATATAATTTATGAGTTTTAGATTAATTTAAAATACTCATATTTTTTATTTTATTTACATTTCAGGGTGTGAGTAGTATTTTGTAGAATATTTAAGAACATTCCTAACTTTAGGGCTTATTGATTGGATTTGAAAAAAATCTCGGAGCAAAAGATTTGGCTGTATTTTAGTCTCTTTTTATGAGTATACATATTACTTCAGGAATATATATCAGAATTAATGTCTCTAAATTGCATTTATCAAAGTTGAATGGACGCTTTGCCCAGAGAGCTTTGTGCTTACACATCTCGAGGTGCAGTAGAACTGAATTTTCTATATAATTGTTTCTCTACTTAACTTTATAAGGAAACATATGTCCAAACTGAGGATAACCCCACTTTAAGTTTCAACATGGTTTGGGTTTTGCAGCATCCAAGATTTTTCTAACTATGCACCTCTTTTTTTCTTTCCTTTTCTTTTTTGGTCTTAAAACACACTCCTTTGGCTGGTTCAGTAAGTTGTTCCTGCCAACCAGTTGCTTTTATGGTAATTGACAGCGTAGCTGATTTTTGGAACCTTAGAATCTAAAAAGGCATTTTAGCTCAGACTTGGGAGAGGCTGAGCCAGGCTACTTGCAGAGTAAGAGATACAGCTGGGCCGAATGTAGGGCAGTCAGACCCCAAGTCTGTGCATGTTAATTAACAGCAGTGAAACGTCTGCCCTAGCTCAGACTTCTGATTTCTCTCTCTTCAGCAGCATTCAGAACCCTTCCTTCTCCTGTCAGATTGTTTCTTGAGCTGCTGGGTGCCACTTCCGAAGGGGAGCCAGTGAGACCACCTGTCTGGAGTGGGCAGATGTGGTGTGAGCCCCCTGAGCCCTGGGAATGGGTCAATAGACCCACCACTCCATAAATATTGACTATTGGCTGAAAAAACACAAAATACTTAAACCAGATAAGAGCCGGCAAGTTCATACTTCAAAGGAAAAGAGCATAAGAAAAAAAAACTTCATATGTAATACAAGTATTTAATATAATGGGTGGATTGTAAATTTTCTGAGTTCCTCTCAAATGATATCAGTTCTCTAAAATAGCTGGGGCATTTCCCCAGCATAACGACTAGAAAAAAAATCTCTCCAAACTCCCAGATCTTTATAGTCCTTTGCTTTCCTACAAAAGCACAAATGTTTAAGAGTAAAAGGGCCCCTGTTTGCTATCTTCCTTTTGCTAGTTCTTCTGGGAACTAGAACACACCACTCTGCGGGAGGTGGCTCTTGGACACATAATATCCTAGTGACACGGCAGCCCACCAATAACAGCAACAGGAAAAGCATGCCCTTCTAACACCAGTTTATGTTTTAAACCAAAAGCACCCTGGACACAGAGAGCCCCCTCAGAGTGGCAATAGTCAGCTTTTTCTGGGCGGTTTGAAATCTTTGACACCGAGCTTTGTTACATACTGTGTTTTTAGCATTGACTATTGATGGAGAAGCAAAATGTTTCTTCTATTCATTACTTTTTATGAATCTTTCCTTCTGTTGCTGGGAGAGGTACCTGAATCCACACCCAGTGACACGGAACGTGCCCATCTGCCTTAGAAATAAAATATAGAATTCAGTCTTTTGAATACTGCCGAGTACATTGTTGAAATTCATGAAGCTAATTAGGACTACTCAAACGGGGATCAGAGTCTGTGTTTTTAGACTTCAAAGGTATTTTCATAGGCACCAAACTGTAAAACACATACACCCAAGGAGTAAGCAGAATTTTATAATTTCACAGTTGGCTGTAGTAAACTTGTTTCCCAGTGGAATGAGTTCAAGCAGGCAGCCACAGGGAGTGCTGCTAGCTGCGTCCAGCCGTTCATGGGCTGCAGGACAGACAAGTTCACTCTTCATCTGAAATAGAAGCTCTCCATGGACCTAACAGTGAGTTACATGTTCTCCTTCCACATCCAGGCTCCACTCATTTATGGCATTTCTGGGTTCTCTAACCCATCACATACCCGATAGCCACAGGCTTCCTTCTTGTTGTCTGTGCAGTGCTCGCTCTCAGGTTGACGATTCAGGTAGGACCCTGATTCTGGTCCCCTTTGTATATGTGAGAGTGCTCTGCTCATGAGCCAGAGCATCAGTTACATGGTCTTTTCTAAATTCTGTTTTGTTATTTCCCTTAATGTTCTTTAAGCTTCGTGGAACTTATTCTGCTTTTGCCAAGTCTTTCCATTGAATAAATATCTCCATAACCTATTGCTTCACTTTGGCAACAGAATTGTTGCAATTTGTGGGCAAAATTGAGCAAAGGCCTAACTCATTTTTTTTCTTTGTAAAATGTCCAATGTTGCTGGCTTTCCTCCTTCTAAACAAAGGCCTTGACTTGTTCTCTGTTCTGGTAGCGCCATGTCTCTGTCATTACTGAGTGAAGATTTATAGATAATAGTACTAAACAAAGAATGATTTAATGGACACACACAGAGCCAGTGATACTAAATAAGCTAAGACACAAAGTGCTTAGAATAGTGCCTGGTACATAGGAAGTGATCTGTGCACTAGGATTGTCAGAGTTCTGTGAATTGAAGGTTGTCATTCTTCTCCTCCATTTACATAAGTAATATTATAATTCCAAAATTATCAAAAGCAGCAGAGATGTAGCTAACCATCCAGGCTGAACTAGTAGGGGCCAGGAGATCCAGAGGGTGACCAGCCAGCCACTCACAGATCCAGTTATCTCCCAAAGGATACCTAAAATGAAAGGAGACCAAAGAAAGGAACTAACATTTGTTGTTCCATTTGGGGCCAGGCACACATTATCTCCTTTATTCTTCATAAAAACCTTGTCATTTGTTCACTAAGTGCTTTTGTTTTGTCTCGTTTCCTTGCCTTTTTTTAAAGCTGCCTGGGTCCCCAGGTGAGGGGTTATGCAAAGAGCTCATAGTGACCCAGTGTTGTCTCCTGGTCTACACTGTAATGCCTGACTCAGGATGTGTTAACAGGCTTTCCCAATTCTTTTCATTCATAGAGGGCATCAAAATTTAGCTGCCTTCTCAACAGAGTCATGTAATTATTTTCTCTTGCCATATCTTCCCTGGGAAATTTTGCCCTGGTTGGACTATATTATGACACATCGATGTTCTTTTTCTCAAGTCTCTTCTAGTTCCATGACTCCCTTAGAGTCCAGAACTGGAAACCGTGCTGCATGGCTTAACTAGCCTTGAGCAGTACAGAGAAAAAGATATTGCCTTCAGAAATATTGGGTTGGGGGAGGTAAAAGAAAAGGAGAGGATGGAGGGCAGGAAAAGACAACTTTTTAAAGGCCATATAACTAGAATAGGGCCTTGAGCAAACATTGTGTTTTCATGTTTCCTATGTGGGCAGTGCCTCACTCCGTGCTACTCGGTGATGATGGTGGTTGTTGATGATGGTGGTGATGGTGACTTAACCACTCTCTGGGTTGGAGTCTCATAGGCTGATGGGGAGTCTCAGCCCCACTCCTCTGTCCCCCCTTACTGCGCATGCTGGTTGCCTCTCTTTACCCTGCATGCATCTTTCCCTCCACTATGTCTATTTTTATGTTTCCAATACCATATTCTTTAGCCAAAGGGGCTACCTAGGGAGATTTAATCAAAATCAAGAACCCATTTCATCTTTCTTTCTATGGAAGTGGTATTGGTGGACATTAGTGTTCTGAGTGACGAGTCTAAACCAAAGGTGAGAGTGCAGAAGCGAAAGTTCGCACCCTTTCATTTCCTGCAACAGCAGGATGTGGAGTTTGTTTGGAGCTTGAAGACTGGTGCCTGCTCATTTTAATCTGCCAGGAAATCCTGTGTTGCTGTCAGCATTGGGTCTGTTACTCATTTGGTAACTAGCGAGAGGGAACTATTTACTAGTCTTTTTTCTGAGATGACGGTTTGATTCCCATGAAACCATAGACTGTTGAGCCAGAGGCACCCTGAAGATTCTCTAGGAACTTCCTTATTTTATAGTTGAGGAAACTGCATCGCGGACACTGGAGGGCATCATAATCTCCCCAAAGGGCACAGCAGATGAGTGGTGGGGTGAGATCAGAACCTGGCCCCAGGGAGAGTCAGCACTATTTTCCCGAAACCATTTGCCTCCTCATGAAAAGGCCCAATTTCTCAGAATAAATTCACCTCACTTTTTGTATATTTCTGAAAGCTACTTTTTATTCTTTATTACCTGTTCTCTTCTTATTCCTAATTCTTTGCAAAGAGATTTTTTTTTTGCATCTTAATTTACACTACTTGATCTTTGTGGAAAAAAAAATTTTCAGCCATATTTCCCGATAAACTTTTATTCCTGGGAATTAATGATGAAACTCTTGGGAATAAAAAAGAAAGAAAAAAAATAATTGAAATTTTGCTTTTCTTTACAGACACTCTGGAAAATGGATCCAATAAAGGTGACAGGTGAGGCATACTCTATGTTTTTATTTGCCATTTGTGCTTTTCAGTGACAGCATTTTCTACAGACGCTACAGTGAGTTTGATCATTTTCTTTCTGTTTTTGCTTAAATCCAGTGCAGCTAATCGAAGGGGACCGAGCAAGGACGACACGTACTGGAAGGAGATCAATGCAGCGATGGCCTTGACAAATCTTGCACAGGGAAAAGACAAGCTGCAGGGGACCACCAGCTGCATCATCCAGAAGTCGTCCCATATAGCAGAAGTCAAGACGGTCAAAGTGCCCCTGGTCCAGCAGTTTTAAGAGTTTGTCACTTTTCCGATCAACGGCTGTTCTTCACGTCAGTGTTTTTCACAAATCCTCATCCTGAGAGCCGAAGCAGGAGTGACAATGACTCCCTTTCACACCTCTTCTTATGTCTAATTATCCTAAATATATCATTTAGTTGCTTCTGTAAAAGACATATAAATTATAAAAAAACCTCACTTCAATCAAAAATATTAACTTATTTTATGTTACTCAAACTATGCGTAAAATGTCTGCATTGCCATTACAGTAAGTGCCTTGCTTCCCGAAAATGAGCTACAACGTGGGCATAGGAGAGCAGCTATGCCTCAAGATGAAACGCCATACTGCTTATTAGGCTGTGCGTCTCATTCCAGATGGACCTAACCATTCCAGGACTGAAACCAGACTTGCCGAAAGCCCTTGAAATGTATTCAATAATTCACATGTTAAAACTTGGAAATCTATTCAGCCCAAATGAAATGTTCCTTTAAAAAAAAAATTTCTGCAGTATTTAAAATTGTTCAGTGTGCTTTTCAGAGTGACAGTGAGAATTTTATGCATGTCTCTTGCCTGCATATCTGATATGTTACAAACTTCCGAAATGAAAGGTACAGTGATCACATAATGTGTACATTTAAGAAGAGTCGCAATGAATACATTGTGATCAGAAAAACTTTTTCCAAGAGCTGCTGGAAAAACACCACAATGCCCTTTAGAATTGATTTGGATTTTCTTTTTCTCATGTTTTGCTGAAGTTTTTAAAAACTTTATTAGATAAGGAACTCGAAATTTTCCTGTGTAGAATTAAATCTGTAGTTTAGTTTTAAAACATAATCCTGTTTGCATTAGAGTTCCATGTTTTTTGTGGTGGAAACTTTTTCGTATGGAATGGCTAAAAGCCTTTTATTTGGTTCATTTCAAATTACAATTGCTGATGGACAATTTCTATTGCATGAGAACAAGACAATGAAAGAAATGTATTTCTATGTGAATATACATATACACACATAAAATTGATTTTTAAATTTAAAACATATGGAAAACAAAACATTGAACAGTCTCTGAATTTTGTCAAGTAAGACATTAAAAATTATGTGAAATCATGCATTCAAAGAAAGAACATTTTGTTTCTAAATTAGACTATCATTGAGTGAGAATAATCAATATCAAGAAAGAATATCTTTTTCAATCAAACAATAATATTCTAATCAGCTTGGGGAGACCTGAAACTTGAATAAACAGTGGAGATGCCAAATATAACAGAGTATGTGTGCTACAGAGAAGTAAAAAGGATTTGACTCTTTTATGGTGGGATGTTTTTTCTGGGTATGTAATCTATTTTGTAATTTTTTTTTAAAACTGGAAAGCATTTTTGTGAGTGTGAGTGAGAGCCAATAGTGCAGCCATGTGGTGACATTTTTCTTTATTTTGCAAAATGCTTTTAAAACCAAAGGCTGCTCTAGTTGCTATATGGACAATATCAGTCTTGATATAAACTGTAGGACACTTTTTTTCATGTAACATAGCATTTGGGGCTTGGGTTTATTTAGTGTAATGAAGATAATTTGATATAAAAATATTTTGTATATATATATTTTTACTTTGTTTTTTAAATTGCTGTTTGCAGTAACAGTAAGTGCGAAGCAAGATATGTAAGTTATGACTGTATGATCAGATGAAGTATGAGTTCTTTTGGCTTATATCATTAAGTAGTTACAGATCTATGATAAAAACTTTGGAATCTTTATAAAACAGTTTTGCCAAAATGTGATCATGTCAATGAAAACTAAGGACAAGTACTTCACTTTTTCATACTATTATAAGTTATTCTGGTATTAAATATTTTAATAAAATTGTTTTTGTTTTGACATATTTCAGTTAGAGGAATGGATGCTGGTTTTTTTATTTGAATTATTCATAATTTATTTTTGCCATCTTTTTAAAAAGAATCAGCAAATTTGTTCTATGTTATAAACTATGGATGACAAGCCAATATAGGACAGCTATACACATGATTTTTTTTTTTTTTTGCTGAGGAAGACTGGCCCTGGGCTAACATCCATGCCCATCTTCCTCCACTTTATATGGGACGCTGCCACAGCATGGCTTGCCAAGCAGTGTGTCCGTGCGTGCCCAGGATCTGAACCGGCGAACCCCGGGCCGCCACAGTGGAGTACCCACACTTAACCGCTTGTGCCACTGGGGCAGCCCCCCGTGATTTTTTTTTTAAAGACCAAAGCTTGGAGTCTAGCCTATAAACACATCAAGAAGATTTTATAATTAGCACATCCTTGGCAAATCTCCAATTGCCATTACTTTTAATTTATTTTTTCTTTTGCTGCTTTAATGTTTTCTGGAAATTAAAGTCCCCCCAATCCTTTAAAGGAATCTTGAACAATGCTGAGCCAGCAGCTGAGAATCTAACTCATAATTTATGTTGTAGAGAAATAGAATTACCTCTATTCTTTGTTTTGCCATATGTAATCATTTTAATAAAATTAATAACTGCCAGGAGTTCTTGACAGATTTAAAATAAAAGTTAATTTCTAGAACTCAATGATCATATGAATTTTGTTTTCCTTTGAGACTTGACCAGGTGGAGAAAGAAGCAGAACAGAAGGTTCCATTATATGCTGTAATTCTCCTAGGTTGGTAAGGGATATGATATGGGAGCACTGCATTTGTATTAGGGTTGAATTTCATCACCTTAGACCACCAACTTACGTTTTAAGAGCAGAGGAAAAGAGACTATGATGTTAACTGTTAAAATACATAACTTTAAAATGAACATTTTCACTAAATACCTTCTTTCAGTAGCTAATACAATAAGCGTTATTACTGTGTGCTATGTACTGGAGAGAACCTCAGCTTTGAAGCTAAACAGATAAACATTTGAATCCCAGCTCTGCTACTCGCTATTGTAAGATCCAGACTCAGTCACTCTCGGCTTCAGTTGCTTCATCTACAAAGTGAGAGAAATGGGTTATACCTTGTGAAGTTTGCTACAAGGTTTCAAAATAATATACAACATATAAAGTACCTACCACAGTGCCTGGCATTTAAGAGGTGCTCACTAAATGGAAGGTATTATCACATAATTATAATTCCTCTATATAGAGTTTATGTGCAAGAAAGTAGAAATATAAATGGGATATGAGATATGGGTAGTGTACTAAAGAGCCTTGGGAAAGGAAAGATGTCTGACATGAAAGATTGCAGTGAAAGGTAAAAGTTGGTATCAGAGTTAGAGAGAGACCTTCAAGAAGATCATTTTTATTATCATTCCTTTGACTTCCTGGAGAAAAGTATAAAATAGAACAAAGCTAGAGAAGAACAGACATGCCAATAGAAAACGCAGCATGTGCAATGACTTCTTTCAGATCAACGAGAATTGCTTTTCCTTTTATTTGTCCTGCTTGATCCTGTTCAAGATGACTAAGAACTCAAGCTGCTGTCTGTAGTCTCTGCCTGCTCCAAGTAGCAATGTTTAACAAACAGTGGCAACAGCCATGGGCTGCTTTTAAACTCATCCAGCTCAATGGCATAACATCATGCAAATAAACACAGAGAATAAGAGCAAGCCGCCCAGACTCTTCTGTCTGGGACAGCTTAGGTCGGCCATGCCTGGGAAGGCAGTGTGGGGTGGTGGTAAGAACCTGGGCTGGCACAATCTGGCTTTGCCTCCTCACTTCTTACTGACTTTGGGGAACAAGCATAAGCCTTCTATACCCAGTGTTTGCATCTATAAAATATGATATATGAAATCTACCTACTCCAAAGATCTGTTGTGAGGATTAAGTAAGACAGTGGATATAAAAGAGCTTTGCAGACTGCATGGTACTGTACCAATGCTAACGACTTATTAATGTGTTCCAGATGACTCTGAAAGGCCTAATATCCCATAATTTTTGGCAATATAAATTGTGGTTTCCATGAAGCATATAGACCCCTAGATTTTGTCAAATACATGTTCTGATCTACCATCTTTGGGCCTTTTTGAGCACAGAAAGTCTTTTGGTCCTGTACTTCTTTGTAACAATTACAATCAGAATTAGGTGATTGATTTGTCATACTGCAGGGATAGAAACGTGACTTCACCACTTTCCAGCTTTAAGAGCCATCTTAGAGATGGACTAAAAATTTGGTTTGGGAGGGTTGTACGTTGGCCATAATAAACTTTTTTCTTTTAAGGTGAGAAAAACATTTCTGAGTTTGGAAAAATAAGCTGACGTGTTTTTACGTGTTCACGCAAATGACTCCATGGAAATTCATCCCATGTAAAGATTGTCTCAATAAGTCTTCTGAAACAAATTTCAGCCCAAAGCCAGTTTCTGGAAATTTGATCTGCAATGAGTCTAATTCATTACTTTTAAACAAAATTTTAAATTTTAATTTATGTTTTAAAAAATTATAAATGTAACTTATGCTAGTTGTAGAAAAATTTCAGCATTATAGAGGGATACAAGATAAAAAGCACCAATCCCATCTCACATGATCTCTCCACAATCCAAATCCCACATCCCAAAGATAACCATGGTTAACAATGTCTTGTGTATGCTTCCAGAAACTCTGTGTATATACAAACTTGTACTTTTTTTTTTATTGAGGTCGTAACGGTTTATAACATTGTGAAATTTCAGGTGTACATTATTATCAGTTTCTGTATAGACTGCATCGTGCTCACCACTAATAGTCCAATTTTCATCCGTCACCATACATATGTGCCCCTTTACCCCTTTCGCCTACCCCCTAACCCCCTTCACCTCTGGTAACCACTAATCTGTTCTCTTTGTCTGTGTCCAACTTGTACTTTTTCATCTTGTACTTCTTACTGTATTTATACTGCCCTGCAACATTTTTTCCATTCCATCTTGTGTGTGTGTGTGTGTGTGTGTATATATCATATGTATATATGTATCATATGTATATATATAGAAGTTTATGGAGATTTATTTTAATGAATTCATAGGATTTTATTTTTGGATCTATTATAATTTATCCAACAAATACCCCCTTGATGGACTTTTGAGTTATTTCCAATTTTTAATTATTATTAACTAGTGCTATTCAAAGTGCTGTGTCACTCTGAAACAGCTTGCACTAGAATATAAATCAACATACGGCTTTCTTAATCAAGAAAATCTTTCCATCAAAAAAAAAAATTTGTCACCTGAACTCATAGTGCTCTTAGAAGTGTAGTTGATTTACATTCTGGCCCCTTATCTCCTTGAAAACTAATAAGCAGTCAGTGGATTATCATCACGAGGCAGATCATATTTGAGAAGCACTGTTATAAATACTGATGCAGTGAGCATTCTTGTGTATACACGTCTTCAGCCACTTATACATCTATGGAATAGATACCTAGAAGTGGAATTAATGGGTCAAGTGATAGGTACATTAAATTTTTTGATGGATGTTGCCAAATTAACATTTAAAAGTTCTACCAATTTATACTTCCAACAATAGGGTGTGAGTATCTGTTTTTCCTCAAGTTGGTCAAACACTGAGTATTATTAACGTTTTTAATACTTGAAAATGTGATAGGTAAAAAATAATATCTCATCATTGTTTTAATTTGTACTTTTTTAAGATGAGTGACATTGTGCATAAGCTCACTGACCATTGGTATTTTCAGTGAGCTTCTTGTTCATGTCTCCCTTCTTTCCTCTCTCCCTCCCTTCCTTCCTTCCTTCCTTCCTCTTTCTGTTGTCTGTTTGTTAGTGATTTGTATGAGCTGTTTGTATATTTCAAACTTCAGTACCTTGTCTATAATATAGGTTGCAAAACATTTTCCCAGTTTTTTTTTTTTTTACTTATAATATGTTGAAATCCAGAAGCTGAAACATCATATGTGTGTGTGTGCAGAGGGTGTATAGGAGGGTGCTGCATGTATTTGGTCATCATAGGAGCAGTGTAGCTCTGGAGCCAGACTGCTAAGGTTCAAATCCTATCTCTTCTGCTTACCAGCTCTACAGTCTTACACCAGACACGTAACCTACCTAACCACAGTTTCTGCATCTGTAAAATACAGATCATAATAATAACTATTTTTTACTGTTGCTGTGAGGATTAAATTAGTTATTATATAAAAGTAATTACAACAATAGTATCTGGTACATAGTTAGTGCCAAGATTGTAAAAAGATTCATCCAACTTTTATGCTATTAGTTTTATGATTTATCTTTGTATGTTTAAATCTTGCATCCATTGGCAATTTATTTTGGAATAAAACATGAGCTAGGCACCCCCAAAAATGAAATACTTATGTATAAATCTAACAAAATATGTATAAGATCTATATGAGGGAAACTGCAAAACTTTGGTGAACGAAATCAAAGATCAGAGAAGAACCAAGTAAATGGAGATAATGGATATAGAAAGACTCAATATTGTCAAGATGTCGATTCTTCCCAACTTGATCTACAGATTCAATGCAATCCTAATCAAAAGCCTAGCAAATTCTTTTCTAGATATTGACAAACTGATTCTAAAGTTTATGTGGAGAGGCAAAAGACCCAGAATAGCCAATACAATATTGAAGGAGAAGAAGAAGAAAGTGGGAGGACTGACACTACCCAACTTTTACACTTATTGTAAAGCTACAGTAATCAAGGCAGTGTGGTATTGGCAAAAGAATAGACAAATTCAACAATGGAACAGAATAGAGAGCCCAGAAATAGACCCACACAAATATAGTCAACTGATCTTTGACAAAGGAGCAAAGGCAAGACAATGGAGAAAAGACAGTTTTTTCAACAAATTGTGCTGGAACAACTGGACATCCACATGCAAAAAAAAAAAAAAATGAATCTAAACACAGACCTTACACTCTTCACAAAAATTCATTCAAAATGGATCACAGACCTAAATGTAAAATGCAAAACTATA